TCCTTCAATCTCTCCTGGCCTGATAATCTGTGTTAAGAAATCTGCAGTTATTCTTAGAGGTTTATCTTTAGAAGTTATTTCATATTTCTCTCTAATGGATTTTAGTGTTTTTTCTTTGTTGTGATTTCTTGGATTTTTCCACAATGCAATGTGGACAGTTTCTTTTCTGGTTGTAGCTACTTGGAGTTTTAAATGCCTCATTATCTGGACATCCATTTCAGTGCCTAGACTTGAAAGTTTTGTGCAGTAATTTGAGGGAATAAGAATTTTAGACCTTACTGTGTTTCTCCAGCCTTTCATTGACCTCTGTGATGCTTAGGTTATATATTTAGAACCATTTGTGTTGGGCAGGGTTGGAGCTCTAATTTTTCCCTTATCAAAGTTGATTAGACTATTTAGAGTCTTTTTATTTTTACAGAAATGTCAGAATCAAAATTTTAATCTATGTGAAAAATGATGTTGACAGTGTGACATGGCATTGTGTTTTATGATCATTTTATTTTCCTCTATTCATTTTTGGTTTCATTCTGAATTTTATTTTTATTAACTGCCAGATAGCTATTGGGGAGGTGTAAAATTTTGAGGCATCTTATTGGCTGGTGTTTCTTTGTTCCTGTGTTTTTCTGCTGAATGTTGTAGGTCAGTTGGGCTAGAAACTTCTGCTAATAGAGATAACGAACATTGAACTGTAAAGAAAGGACAGTTTATGGTAATATCTACCCACAAAGAACATTATAGCATTTAAGACATACTGGCACTGAAACTGGTTTATTTAGAATATGTGTGTTCTCTTGATCCTGCTATGGTAATTCTTATGTATCAAAAAATCTTTCTATTTCTACTCCATTTGTCTCTTACTAGCTGCCAATTGTTGAGGCAGGAACAGAGAACTTTTAGGATTTCTGTGAGATCTGTTGTCATTTCACCATTTTGATTCCCAACTTCATGGATTTGAGTCTTTTCCTTCCTCTTTTTGATAAGGAGTTTTTTTCCATCCTATTTAATCTTTCATAGAAGCAACTATTGCATTCATGGATTTTTGCTTTGATTTCTTAGTTTCCATTTCTTTAATTTCTGTTATGATTTATAATTTCCTCCTTCATATGATCTTCAGCGTTAACATGCTCTTCTCTATCTATAAGCTTGAGGTTCAACAGTAAGTTAATTATTTGAGCTTGTTCTGTTTTCCTGATAAGTATATTCAATGCTAAATATTTCCCTTTTAGGACTCTTTCAGCGTGTCCTGTAATTTCAAGTATGGTTGTACTACTGTTATCTTTTAAGTGTATAAATTGTCCAATTTCTTTGTTAATTTCATCTGTGACACATTGGTTTTTTAGGATGGTGTTATTTAATTTCCATTTGTTTATGGAGCACTTGTGGTTTATCCCTTTTCTCTCAGTCTCTCTCTGTCTCTCTGTCTCTCTGTCTCTGTCTCTCTGTCTCTGTCTCTCTCTCTCTCTCTCTCTCTCTCTCTCTCTCTCTCTTTCTCTCATCCCTTCCTTTCTTTTTATGTATCTGGAATTGCACTCCATACTTTGCACTTGCCAGGCAGGCACTTATGTCTCTGAGCTATATCTGTGTACTAGTTCTTTGGTTTCCTTTGCCATTGATTTCCAATCTCATTGTTATGTGATCTGATAATATGCATGGGATAGTTTCAGTTGAGTTACATATACTTTAGTTTGTTCTATGAGAATATTTTCTATTTAAGAGTATGTCCCAGAAAAAGTGTCAGTGGAGCCCTGTTGTATTTAAGGAACTCATTAGTATTTGTAAAACTATTTCATTTTCTGATAGAGATTTTTTTTATTACTTGGTGTGGTCACCGAGTCAGTTGAGAAGAGAATAATAAGCTCCTGATGTCAGGTACAAGAGAGGAGAGTTGCTGCAAGGTACAGAAAGGCTTGTGTGCTGTAATTGCCTGAGGATGGGGTTAGGCAAGAGGATGGGAAGAACTGGGAATCAAGCTTGATGAACTAAGAAAATGACCTTGAACATCATATTCTGAGGAAATAATGCTACATGTGAGGCATCATATTCTTCACAGCTTCAGTGGTCTGAGGTATTGCAAAGAGATCTACACTTGTTAAACCACATCGCAGAGTGACAGAAACATCCCCACACTCCCACAGCCAGTGTACTTGAGTTTCTGTTAGCTGCCCAGATATCAGTTCCTGCTACTTCTGTTTCTTAGAAACAGCTGGTCACTGTGATGCACAGCTGGTCTTATCAAACATATTACAAAAACCAATCAAAGACAGCCACGGACTCTACCTCTCTACTTCCCGTTTGAAACCCCATAAAAACCTCTCTGCCTGAGTCACAGTGGTAGCTCAGTTCACAAATGCTTTTGCTTGTCAATAATTTGGTTTCCAAACAGAAGCATTTGGCAAAATTCTGTTTGTTTACAAACTCTTCATCTGGTGACCAACATGACTGCGGCCATCTATTTTAGACAGATGCAACTGTGGCCATTTTTCCCAGAATCAGGGAACAGATTAAATTTGTCAACTGACGTACCACTGTAGTTAGCCCAAAATATGTCACTAAAAGTGACCATTTAAAAAGATTTCTACACTAGCAACAAAGTCTTTACACTAAAACCATCCATAAATTTAACACAAAATAAAACAAAAAGCCCAAGAGAAACGGGGGACTAAAAGGCAACAGAATGCCTCCAGAATCTCTTAGCTCCATGAAGCCAATCCAGGGGATAGAGAACAGGATAAGCCACACATGAGAATTACTTCAAAGGAGGTTGGAAAACAGATCAGAGAGGTACACAGAGGGACCACAGAAGACATAACGAAGCAGATAATGGAAGTAATAACCAAAGCGATCCAGACGCTTCCAGAAGACACAAATAACAAACTAGCTGAGCTAAACAAAACTATACAAACCATAATGACAAGTTTAGAAAAAAAATTGGAGTCCATAAGAAGGTTAAAATCAGAAATCCAGGTGATTAAAAATTATATTGAAAGTTAGGGCTGCAGAAATGACCAGTGTGAGAACAGAATTTCAGAACTCGAAGGCAGTGGTGCTTTCAGAGACCAACTACACAAACCAACAAGACAACATGAAAAATGGACTCAACCACTGGATGACACAAAAAAGCCTATGAGTAATTGGAAAAAGCGATAAATCAGAAGATAACACTAACAGCATAAAAATATTCACTGAAATAATGGCAGAAAACTCCCCAAATACAGGAAAAGAAACAAGCACACCAATAAGTGAGGCATGATCAAAAGAGAGCTTATTATACTTTTAGTACCAGAAACCTATCACAGGAGACAAACTCTTAAGTGCTATTACAGAAAAGCAACAAATTACATGGAAAGGTAAACGCATTAAAATTACACCAGACCTCTCAACACAAAACTTCAAGGCCAGGAGGACTGAAGTGTTTTGAGCTCTAAAAGATAACTTCCAAACCTGACTTATGCATCCTGCAAAACTCTCCTTCATAACTGATGCAGACATAAAGCATTTCCATTACAAGAAGACAAGATATTCATGGCCACCAAACCAGCATTACCAAAAAATTTCAACTGACTTGAAGATAACAATCTCTAATTATTGTGCTTTGAAATTTTGTTTGTTTTTCTTTTTTTTCTCTTTAAAGTAAAATAGATTTAAAAAGAAACAAAAATTTTAAGGGTATTTCTGGAAAACAACAATAAAGCCAACAATGTCAATAAATCAAAAAGAATGAATATACCCGGTGTGATGAGCAGTTAAGCAAAAGAAAAAAAAAAAAAGGAAAGGAATATCAACAAGAATAAGTCGATAGTTTTCAGTAAAAACTCTCAGTGTGAAATGGTTTCAATTCCCCACCAAAAGACACAGACTGGCAGAACTGATCCAGAAACAAAATCCTATGATACGCAGGAATCAAGAAACACATTTAATTCAAAAAGAAATTCACAGATTAAAGATCAAAAGATGGAAAATAATATTCCACGCAGGAAAAGAGAAAGAAGTAGTGATCCTAACTTTATTTTTTTTATTTAAAAGGAAAAAAAAAGAAAAAACAGTATAATGGTACAAGTAATACAGAATTGCAAAAAAAGGTAAGAAATTATAATAGATTACATATTGTCATCTTAGAAATGGTTGTTCAAGTTACAGTATTAAAGCATACAAAGTGGACATTCAAACAGTGAGACTGCAAACAGTTGTGTTCAGTGATCCAACAAAAATTTAGTAATATGTTCATTTATCTTAACACACCTAAACACACTTGCAGTTGTATCCTTTAGATCACTTTTTTTCTCTGTTTTACAACAAAACCCAAAATGTGTAAATTTCGTAGTGATATTAACTTTAGACAAAGTGGACTTCAAGCCAAAACTAGTCAGAAGAGACAAAGAAAGTCACTACACATAGGTGAAGTGAATAATTCCATAGGAAGGGATGACGATTATAAACACACTGAATAATAACATGCCCAACTTCATAAAACAAATACAGACAGGCAAAGTTAGATAAATATTAACGAATGGTAAAGGAGGATCTCGGTAATAACCCACTGTCAAAAACAGATCATTTGAGAACTGGGCTCCTAAATCAGGCAAGATGCAAGATTGCTCAAGGTGCAATTTATTGTCAGCTTACAAGACAAAAAGTCCTGTTTTTCCAGGATTTACTCAGTGGCACGTGTTTTTCTTTAAAACTGGAGACACAAGGGACACAGGAGAGGGGAGGTAAAAAGATTTAAGATGTCCTAGTACAGGTACCAACTCTCCATGATGAATTTAAGTACAACTAACTTACTAATAAAAATAAAAGTTAACAGAACAAAAATGACACACAGCCCTCTTTATGGTCAGCTAAAAACCAAAATCGCCTTGATGGGTACAGAGCTACTATTTCTGTCATTTTGAAGTTCCCCATGTAAATTGGCATGGTCTAAACCCACACTGTTAGCCCTGTTACAGCTTCACCCTGCTGTACAGGGATGATCTCCAGGGATTACGCTGCTCTCTACTCACCAACAGGAGGCTTAACGGGAGGAAGTCCTGACTGTCGCAGAATCCAACTTCTGTGTTTCTGATACACTGCCTGTTCCAACAACCATGAGAGGAAGTGTGCAAAAACAAAGTGCTGTTAGTTTTAACACTTCACACGGGGCACAGGTAAGACACACATCTCCACACCTACAATGGTGTCTACTGAGGAATCCTAAGACTGCCTGGGAGAGTGAGGCAAGAGCATCAGAGGGCTGCCCAGAGTGGTTCTGTCACCACCCAAGGGGACACTGGCACCTAAAATAGCAATAGGGCCCCTTGGAAGTGCAAACCACCTCAGTGTGCACATACAGAGAGGACAACCACCTAACATAGCTACTCTGCAGCTCCTTAAGCCACACTTTGATATAGCAACTGGACTTTTCCTTGTGCCCTACAGCTAGACCTCCAGGAATGAATGGGGTGAATCAGCAGCACGAAGGGGAGGAGGGAACCCCAGCTGCTCTGCAGGCACTGCTCTCAGGGTGGGTTGCAGGCAAAGAGGCACAGCCCAGAGGCCATGGCCAGTGCTTCTCAGAAGACTAAAGCTTGTCTCAGTTTCTACAAAAAAGGATGGAGAACACGGAGGCAGGGGTCCTTGTTTGACAAACACTGGGTGGCTAAACAGGCAGTACAGCCCTGTCACAAACTGGGTAAAGAGCTTGCAACATCTTCTGCAGATATTTACACTCCCAGTTGTACAGTGTTTTGTTTTCCTGCAAGTATACCAGGAATACTTCTTAGCAACATCTTGCCATAGCTCTAGAAAAGACAGATAGCTGGCCGTGTTGGTAAGACTGGGCAGTCATTGTAAACCTTCATTCTAAAGTCTAGGAGACATGCTGTAATTTATCTTATACTCTCCACCTTGCAAGTCATTTGTAACAGTCCACCTTCTTACCAATGTGGCATAGACATCTTCTATGTAATTTACCCTGACAACTTTTTCTATTCAATCCATTTAAATTTAGTGTTACACAGTTTGCCTGCACATGCCTGTAATCCTAGCACTCTGGGAGGTTGAGGCAGGAAAACTCCAAGTTCAAACCAGGCCTGGACAATTTAACAAGACCCTTTCTGGATAATAAAAGAAGGGGTGGTGTGTAGTACAGGTAGAAGGCTCCCTCCCCAGTACCACCCCAAACCCCAAAACAACAACCACAACCACAAAAATGCCTCCAAAAAAACAAATCAACAACAAACAGACTCATTAATACTACCCTTTATTTTTGTTTTGTTTTGTTGAAACAAGGTCTCCCTGTGTAGTTCACACCGGCCCTACAATCCCTGTGAATTCGAGGCTGGTACTGAGCTCTCAGCAACCTTCCTGCCTTAGCTTCCCCAGTGCCGGGATTACAGGTGATCTCCACACCCAGCTATGTTAATATTGCTTGCAATGTTCAGAGAGAAAATGTGATTCTTATAGTGAAACAGAAATTGAAGGTACAGGGAAAACAACAGAGTACTCATTTAGACTATTTAGTAAGCCAATGGAAATTAAGCTCAAGGCCCGTCACAGCTTACTTACTTATCTATTTTATTTATGATACAAGGTCTTCCTATGAAGCTCAGTATAGCCTTAACCTGGATTTATGATTCACATACATCTCAGATTCATGATTTTCCTGCCTGAGCCTCCCAAGTACTGGAATTACAGGCATGCACTTCCATGCCTTGCCAACATTTGTAAGACACCTTGAGGGAGAAAGTGTTAATTCTTAAGAACTTACTAGTTAAAAGACACACTGGAAAGTGTTCAGCTTTAAAAAGTTTATATAAATGTATTTTTCTCTGATTTTCATACAGGCAAGAAAGAGAAAAAAGGAAAACTACCTACACAGGGGGCTAACAACAGGAAACTTGTAACAACCCCACTGGTACAGTTTATACAGCACAACCATGTACATCAGGAATGAGAAGGAATGAAGTCTCCACCTAACACTGAGATTGTCAGCAATGCACGAGGCTCAGGACTCCATCAGCTTCACCCACATGACACATTGAAGCATCAAAATCACATTACTATGATGCCCAAGTTACAGATATGGAAACTGAGGCACAGCACAGCTGCATGACTTGCTCAAGGTCATGTCCCTGCTACCACAAGAGCTGGATGTGGATGTGGGCTCTCTCAGGACCCTATCAGTGCCTTTTACTAGGTGGGCAGGACTGTCAGGGACTCAAGGTCTCCTCTCAGCCAACTGCACTCTTCAGTCAGCAGTTACATAAGGGCCATCCCGACTGCACTGGAAAGGTCAATGCCTTGCCATCTCTCACTGAGAAGGCAGCAGGGCTGCCCTAGCGGTCTCCACAAGGCTTCTGCCTTCTTCCCTGTCCCTCTTCAGGTGGCACAAGGTAAGTATATGGAAAGATAACACTGGAGGGAAGGGAAAAGGAAAGACAGAGTTGGCAGAAGCTGGAAGTTGTGAGCTAAAGTTTACTCTGCCATTTCTTCTAGTGTGGAGAGAAGTCCCAAGTGTCACACTGCAATTTTCCTGGCAAGCCAGTGCTGCCTGCCACACACTGCACCCCACAGGTGCATCAGCCTCAGCCCTGAGAGCACAGATGGGTGCTCCACTTTATTAGTTGGGCAAGGATGCTAAGGTTCAACCAGACAGATTTTTTAAAAATTCTATTATTGTTGTTAACCATTTTCCAACAAATGTTAGGGCTAATCCTGAACCATTGACACCTGGGCATGCAACCAAACTCAGATGCTTTGTAACACATACAATGGCCACTCTAGGTAATTATTAGCGCGCACATGCTCCCAGCCAGTGTTGCATTACATGGCCCACCACATACCATCCATCTGGATCTCATTGGGCTGCACAGAGTGGGAAGACTTGGAAGAAGAGACTCGGAAGTTTGCAGGGAGTGTCTCTGATGACCCAGTTGCCACGCCATGAATGGCCTTTTCTCTAACCTTCTCTCTCCATGAAGGTGCTCTCCTAAAGTGTTTGTCATGCTCCTGGCAAATGAAAACACAGAACAGGCACACTCTAATAAAGATAACTGTCCTTCAGAAGGACTCCTAAGCCCCTGACTGTTTTGCTTTACTTAGCCTTTCCTGGTGACCTTCCAATGTGCTGCACACACTGGAACTTCAGTGTGAGAGGAAACATGATTACATTCCTGCTGGGCCCCAACTGGAGAAACGAGGGCAGTCCTGGGCACCAGGGATGTGATTTTCTCACCCATCAGAATATTTTATTTCTTACTGTGGACAAGCTCTTGCCTGCTATATAATGTACTTTTATTTATTTTCAAAATATTCTGGCTACAAATAATCCAACAAATGCTTTGCTTCCAGATTCAGCTTCCATCTTCTTTGTGAAAATCAAGTACTCTTGGAGCTCACTGAAGACAATCGTAATGTATGGCAACAGGTTAGTTATGATTTAGCATGAGGGGAAATTTAATATACTTTTGAAAGAAACCTTCCAAACAGAAGAACTGGGGCAGGACAGTCAGCTGTCACCAAAACACAACTTAAGACTTTGATCGCAGGCTGCAATCTGTTTGACAATATAGAAATAATTTTTGAAGGTTGCCAAAAATTAAGTAGTGGACCAAGAGCAAGGATCAGTAGTAGAGCACTCAACTGGCATATGTGAAGCCCTGAGGTTGATTCCTAGCAGTGAGAGGAGAAAAAAGCTGAAAACTTACAACATCAAAACGTCTGACAGTCCCAAGGACCAAAAGGTCGGCAAATTCTTTGTCCAAGACATTTCGAGCCTGAAGTAACAAAACAACAACTAAATATATCTGAAGGATGTTACACATTACAATTTTTTAAAACAAAGACTTCAAAGACTCACATGCTTGCAACACAAACTGGAAAGAAAAGATAGTGAAAAATCAAGCATTTGCTTATTTTGAACTACCATATTATAGATTAGTTATGGAAAGTGATTACTAGTTGTCTGGAGTTAAATTTTCTCTCCATTCAAATGAAAAATAAGTATTCTAGAACCACAGAAAAACCGAACACTGTGGCTAAGCAGACAGAGGCACAGACTCCGTTGTCACCTTTCTGTTCTCTGTCGGGATCTGTAACAACAGGGCCAATGTGTTGTAATCGAAGGCTTCATCTAAGGCCAGCTGTGCGCCATGAACCCCACTCTCTATGAGGTTGTTTGCATATTCTTTAAGGCCAATGGATATGACCCAGCGAATCACTCGATCATTGCTCCAAACAAGCACATCTGTGAAAGAACAAAACAACTGTAAATGTGGCTTCAGAAAACCTCTTCATCATACATGTCCTGCAATGCAGGGGAAAGATTCCTAGCATGGATCTTGATCCCTCAGCTCCTGAAAATGGACTCCACACTCACAAATACTGACAGACACACACCTAGACACAGCTGTTTTGGTTCTGCCTCATTCTAATAAAAACTTTCCCTTTAGAAGCCTCCCCTAGTGCACTCAGGTGTCACAGTAAGATTGTGGATAGGACATATTCAGGGAACAATACAGCATGATTGGCTGAGGATGTAGCTTGGTGGCAGATCACTTGCCTAGTATGTACAGGGCCTGGGGTTCAATCCTAAGACTGCAAAAACATCAGGCTGAGGGTCAGAGTCAGACCTAGCACGTATAAGCATGTTTCCTACACAGACCCCAGAGTCTCCTGAAATGCTTCTCCATCATGAAAGGGGCAGATACCATGACAGTTCAGATACCTTGCTGAGTTCAACACAAACTCTTTGCTTCTGACCTTCTGACCTTCGTTTTCTTTTACTTTTTCTTGTTGTGGTACTGGGAATCAAACTCAGAGCCTTGTGCTTACCAGGTAGGTGCTAAGCCACTGAGCCATACCCCAGCCCCTGTGCTTCTGAAGCTTTGGTCATATCAACATCTTAATATATTACAAAGAAAGAATTTTAAAGACATTCCAGCATATTAGATTTTGGCAATCGTATATCATACAAAGATAATTATTAAATGTATTCTATTACAGACCAAAAAATTGCCACTCTGTAAAAATATATCTGACCACCAATCTTTTCAAAGACTGCTTTTGCCAACTGACAAAATATGGAGAGGGGATATAGAAAACAAATTAAATGGATTAATACATTTCATGTCTGATTTTTTTTCTCAACTTTGTTTTGGTACCAGGGATCAAACTCATGACCTTGCACTTGCCAGGCAGCCGCTCTGTTGTTGAGCTATATCCCCGGCCATGACTTTCTTTTCTAAATAGACCTCAACGTATTCTTTGTTTTAAAAGAATTAAAACCCAGGCCTTGCACAGACTAGGCAAGTGTCCTACCACAGGGCTACATCCCTGGCCAATAGATAATCCTTTATTTTATTTAGAAAAAGACATCAGAATGAGGATGAAAATAACAGAACCACGATGCAGCCTGAATGAATCAACTATGGAAGACTTGACACAATGCTTGATCATTATTCAGTAAGTCTCATTTCTTCTCATCACTGCAGTGCTATTAGTAACTACCGAGAATTCTGAGAGACTCTCGTGAGCATGACATTCAGTGTTGTCTTCAGAGAAAATGCCTGTCCCTGTCATACTGAGGGGGCTGCCATGCCCTCTCCTACCTCCTGGCCTGTTTCTGACATGTCTTTCCTTTGCCCACAGGACACTCTGTGGTTTCTGTAAGGACTGCAATCCCAGTTAGTATGGGTGCTGTGGCAGGAGGGTCACAGGTGTAATCCCAGACCAGGGTACTTAGTGAAATTCTGTCTCAAAATAAATAAATAAATTACAAAATTATGGGTGCTAGGCTATTGGTTGCCTTGACCTCTCCCTCCCTCTGGGAGCAGAACTGTGTGCCCTGCATGCTGCCACAGGCCTTAGAAAAAGCTCCCAAGGCTGTAGTTTTAACCTCTATCCAGTAAGCAAAAGGCAGTGGCTTGTTTGCCTTGCTCTGATCTAATAGCATAAGGCAGCATCTCTGAGAGAGCGTATACAGTGTACAACAACAAAAGGAAAACTACATGAAAGAATGCCAGCACCAAGAGGGTAGCCTACAGACTGAGATAAGCACACACTGTCTCAGGGCACCCCCTTTCATCCCTCCTCTTGTTATCATGCCAAGCCAGTTGTTTCCACTTAAAAGTCTTCCCTGATTTATTTTTTTGTGGTACTAGAGACAGAAGCCAGAGCCCTGAGCATGCTAGGCAAGTCTTTTTTCACTGAACTACATTCTTAGCACCCCTAATTTTCAAATCTAGTTTTAGTGTTCTGAGACAGGGTCTCACTAAATTGCCAGGTCGGCCCTGAATTTGTGATCTTCCTGCCTTAGTATTCTTAGTAGCTGGAACTGTAATTTGTGTAATTCCCAGATAAATGTATGATTATTTTGTGCTTTTTTTTTTTCAGTCCTAGGGATCAAACCCAGGGCAATGCAAGTGGTAAGCAAGTGCCTTATCACTAAGCCCTTGATTTCTTTTTGAGGTACTCAGGAATAAACACAGGGATTTGCACTGAGCTGCATCTCTAGCCCTGTTATACTTTTCATTTTGAGAGAAGGTTTCACGGAGTCCAAGCTGCCTGGGCTAGGCTTGTGACTCTGCTGCTATATCCTCCCAGAGTGCTAGGATTGCAGGTATGTGCCAGCTCAGCTGGCTGCTATACTTTTTCAAACAGGCAATCACCCAGGCTGCCTGGGAGGCAGCAGGCATGTGCTGCATCCATCCGGCATAATGTACTTGCCTTTAACTACATGCTGACTTTCTTCTCTTCTTCTTTCCAGTTCTTTACGATCATAATTTAACCTTTTCAGGCACATAAGTCCACACTGGAAGCTGTTCCTATTTACAAAATAAGGGGTTATTTTACGGTGGCAATGTGAAGTCTCTTGATCCGTTAGGAAGAACCACTTGCACTGCCTCACCTGTGAAAACTGTCAACCATTTTCAGCCGCCCCCGCAGGTCTTTCCTGGTCAGGTGGTCCAGCATCCGAGCATCCACAAGGCACTCCATGAAATAGCTTCGGTACTGAGGTAGGCCCAGGCTGGGCAGCCACTCATTGCCAATCCACTCGTGGTCCATGTCCCCATATGCAAGTGTCTGATTTCAACAAATGAGTGACATCAGTTCAGATTTTTAATCTAGACACCATTCTTAAAGGCTAAATGAATGACAACATTGCTTTTCATAATTTCTAAATATTTGATCTCCCATTCCTACCTTTTCAAATTCCTAAAGTTTTATCCAACAGAAATCATATTGGCAAAATTTTATGACTCATTTAGGACAATTTACCAAGCTATAGAAAAATCATACCTGTCTATAAATTCCTTTTCTGAATTAGTTTTCAATATAATAATATAGGAATAAAGAATGATCATGACTCATGAACAAGTTTGAAGAATCAATTCAAATCATTCAAATGAGCTCTAGCTGGTTTTGATTTTATTTTTAATACTTTGTCTTCCTAAATGACAAGTGTATTTGAAAATCAGGAAAAGTAAATTTAAAATGATAAATGAACAACTAATGAGACTAAGAACAAAAACAGAAAAATACAATTAAATTTAGAAGACTTCAACACTCCTCTCTTAACAACTGGTTCAATGTGCCAATCAAAAAACCAAAAAGGACTAAGAAAAGGAAAACAATCAGGAAGGCTACGGACAAAAACAATACTGTCAATCAATCTGACCCAGATATAACTTACACTTTTTCCTTTCTTTTTTTTTGGGGGGGGGTACTGGGAATTGAACTCAGGACCTCATGCTTGCAAGGCAGGTGCTGCACCACTGAGCTAAATCCCCAGCCCCTCCCCACAACCTTTAAAGACAGAGATTCCCATTATATTACCAGGATTGAGTGCAGTGGCTATGCACAAGCACTCCCTATGCAAAGAGATATTGATGCCACTCTTAGTATGATGTCCATCTTAGTTTAATGCCCAATTGTCATAGGACATTATAACAGCCAACTTCTGGGCTCAGTCTCTTGAGTTTTGGCAACTACAGGGGTGCATCATCACATCTGGCTTCAGGACGTACTTTTTTGTGGTGTGGTATGGTGGTGCATGCCTGTAAACCCAGCACTCAGGAGGCTGAGACAAAAGTATTTCGAGTTTGGGACTAGTCTGCACTACACCAAAAATAAGGAATCATGGTAAGTAGGTTTACTGACTCAGGAATAGGTTGGTTCACCAACTGAGGAGGAAAAAAAAAAATCAATGAAATTTGCCCAATTACGAGATCAGCAAAGAAAGCCATGTCTCATAATACCTTATGTGGCACAAGATCCATCATTCAGTTATGAAACTCAGCATTCTAGGACGAAAGACCCACCGCCTCAATCTATTAAGGGTCATCTACCAAAAGCCTGCAGCTAAAAACCTCACAATGAGGGACCAAATGTCTCCCTGAACGGAAAGAAGCACAAGGGGTGTCCACTGTCACCATTTATGTTTGGCTGTGCTGGAGACCTGGCCACTGTAATGGCAGGAAAAACATAAAAATGGCATGAGTTGAGAAAGACATAAACCTCTCTTTATTAGTAAATGACACAATTATCATTGTTGAAAAAGTCTATGAAATAGCTATTAGGATTTATACATGAATTTAGCAAAGCTGCTGAATATACAATGAATACACAAAAATTAACATTTCTAAATATACAAAATGAACTGGAAATTGAGATTTTAGAAGTATCTTATATAATGGCACTAAACTGCATAAAATCCTTAGCAACCAATTCAACAGAATATGTCCAAGGTCTGTACAATGAAAAATAGACATGATATACAACCACTTCACAGAGAATGGTTCGTTATGCTCTCCAGCTAAGGAAGATTAAATTACATTCACAGGAATCCTAAGGTACATTGAGGAATCCTTTAAAATAAAAACTATCCATTCCCATCCATCCTCTCCTGGCTTGAACTCAGGGTTTCATACCTGCTAGGCTAGCACTCTAACCTGAGCTACATCCCCAACCCCTTACAACAGGGTCTCACTAGGCCCAGGCTGGTCTCTAAGTTGATATCTTCCAGCCTCAGCCTCCTGAGTTCTGGGATTACAGTCATAAACCACCATGCATGGCCTCCATGTTTGGTTTAGAACAATGGATTCCACTCTAGTATTTTATTTGTTCCAGTCAAGATACAAGGGATGGCTCAGCTAAGAGGAATGTTCCAATTCTAACAGAAAAGATTTCATAACTTTCTTTAAATGATGAGTGACAAATATACCACTATGGTAACCATTAAGATACCTAACAATGTTACCATGATGCAGTCCTTTGAGTCATACTTTCATGGGCCTGGGATTCACAGCCTGAATATTTGATGTTTTCTGGCCTGCTGACTATGCTCTCTTCTAATGAGTAGAAGAAATCTTCCAAATAAAAAACTGTGCGGAAGTAAACCCTCCATATCTCTGTTTACTACTTTTGCAGTTGCTGATAATGCAGATTCTGACAGCTCAGACTCAGTTTGAGGGAGAGCCTCCTCCTCTCCCTGGCTGCCACCACAGCCTTCTGAAGAAGTGTGCAAAGGGACCTCATGCTCCAAGCATGGACAAGTCACGCTCAGTCTCAAGGTCAGTAAAATGCGAGCTCCATGAGAGTGGGACTGCAGCTGTCCTGCTCATTAATGGCTCCTGGCAGCTGGCACAGCCTTCTTACACAGCCAGTCATATCTTACATCTGATATGTGAACAGTTCTGACCACACTTGAGTGTTCCTTCCAAAGCTCAGTCAGGAGTGAGGCCACCCAGTGCCAGCACGGGCAAAGCACAATGCTTTGTGCTAGCATAGCTCTGTCCTAGCAGCTCTGTCTGGGAAAGGATGGTGGCAAAGTGCACCAAGCTTCTGCAGAACATTGCATGTGGGGTAAATCTGGAATCTTCTGCATGGGCCCCTTTTATATGGTCACTGCAAAAAGCAAATGTTAAGCTTGTTCAACTACACTTTATGTCTCTGATGCTATTTCATATTGAAGTGGTGACCATATTCTACTTTGTCTTTTGGAATATATTGAAACTTACGTAATTATGAAATGCACTGCTTAATTCACTGATGGTCATTGTTGGTCCTGTAGAGAGACCTCTAACTAGGTGAATTTAAGTGATTCTAGAGGCAGGGAGTATCTAAACCCAGGGAGGGAAACCCAGTTAGTAGCTATTCTCTTTCTTCTTAGTTTTTGTTTCTAAACTTTTTGTAATTTTGAGACAGGATTTTACTATGTAGTTTAGGCTGACCTTGAACTCACTATATAGCCTATGCTGGTCTCAAATTTGCAACAAACATGCTTGATCAACCTCCCAAGTCCTGGGATGACCCATATGTGTCACCAAGTTCCACCTCTCTTTTTTTCAAATGAACAAACAAAACAAACAACCAAGTGCTACAACTGAACAACCTTTAGAAATGCAAACAGAAGCAACTGTTTCAAGCATCATCTTGGAATCAGCAAATTCTAATCTTAACTCATTTATACTTGCTTTCAGACATATGCTAACTCTTCTGAGCCCCCGAATACCGTGCCCCTGGGAAAAGCTGAAGAACTACAAGTCCCCTGGTACTGCACTGTGCCCACCAAAGACCCAAGAGGGCAGAGGGATGCTGGGAATTTAACCAAGTCATCTGACTCAGACACTGTAAAACATGGGGCAGAGCTTTCTGTGTAGTGAAGAGTTAGGCAGCTGAAATTCAATCTCTGTGAAGTGATAAGCCTTAATTTCTGAAAACTCCATTACTAAGATCTTTAACTCAACACAGTAGGGCAGTACTTAGTCAAATAACAATATAAAGACATAGAGGGAAAGGCCCCGTGCCAACTTTCAGGTTTAGAAGTATATTTTATGATTTTTTTCAGCAGTACATTTTAGAACAAAACTAACCCAGCAACGAACTACATGTACATAAACTCAGGAGTTGCCTAAACCAGGGGACTTTGTATAAAAGATTCTATTCATAAATAAAACAACCTTTGTTCAAAGTAATTTCCATGATCCCATATGGGAAATGTTCAAAATTATCCATGAGATGCAATCTTTAATCCTGTGATTTATTTGATTACATTCTTCAAGTCATTAATGATACTATGAATAAATTAAGGTGTGAAAAACACCTACTAAAGCAGGTCACACAAGTTTACATCCTCAATTGCTTTTTGTTGCTACAGAGTGAAGAAATATTATAGAAAGACTCCAACCTTATCCAGCTTCCCTCCTCATCTTCCTGATGTTAGGTTGTTAGGAATGTAAAAGAACATAACTATTAGTATTAGTGAACTTTAGTAGTGTAAGCAAATTAATTCTGCAGGGAACATGCACCTTGACTGAGTGAAAAACATTCAAAATATCAATGCCTCATGCAAAAACTCATGAAAATCCAAGAATTTCAATTTTCCATGCAAGGAGCAGACTTTTTCCATGCCAACTAACCTCATAAAGTAGACTGTTGGCGTTAGACAACCACAACGCAGTGCTCAATGGAGGTCTCTCCAACAGGAGAAGCAAATTACATCTTCTCTAAATGGGGCAAATCTATAAACTAAATTCTTGTAAAAATCTAAAAAATGCAAATACGACTATACGCTATGAGCTAATAACCTAAAAAGAACACATTATATTTGAAACAAATGCAAATTAACTTTTGTTTTCAACAAAAGACAAAGGGCCCTTTGGTCTGGAGTAGGAAACCCACTTTGGAACATGAGCTGCAGGGCTAACTGACCATCTGAGACGTGGCTGCGAGTGTTTCCATCTCTTCATGTGTTAACCAGACATTTCCTGTGGTCTAAGGTGACCCCAGTGCACCAGCCACATCCAGGGCAAGGGAAGCATGACAGAAAGGAGAAGGACGCACATATGAGCCACAGGCACAGTAAGGAGCCACGAGGCAAAGGTCACTCTTTGCACATTTTCATTTCAGGCACCCACAGAGAAAGCCAGAGATCATTAACACAGGCTCATCCTCTTTTAAACAATAACAGTGTGGTCGGAATATAAGGAAAACTGCACACAATTTCCAGATCACATGCTTAAAAGTATGGATGAGAACATACTTTATATTTCTGAAAAGTTACTTTCCCCAGTAACTGATGATTCAATAGACAGTATTTTCAATAGTCTCACCATGTTGGAGGTATAGCTCATGATAGGGTTTTTGCCTGGCTCTCCCAAAGCACTAGGTTTAAGCCTCAGTACAGCAAAACAAAAGAATAAAACAAAACACACAGAAAGCAGTCTCACCCCAACACAGGCTAACAACAGGATGCTCTGGCCTTGGCTTCCTGTGGCTGCTTTCAGCAGATGATCCAAAGCCAGAGGAAGCCCAGGAGGCCAGGGCACAAGATAGTGAGCACAGGAGAGCCAAACAATGCAAACACCAAAAACAAAGCACTTGTCACCATCTGAGTCAAACCTGAGACTGATGGCCACTCTGCTAGCCCACTGTAAGCTCCCCAAGAACAGCAATTTCTGTGTTTGTAACTGGTGATATGGAGAGTCTTTCTGATGTGAGGTCTAGTCCTTGCCAATAGTTCAACTGAATCACAGAAGCTCCCTTTTGAAAGAGGGTTCTTAAAAGCTTTGAAAAAGCCATGCAGCATCTTCATTTCTACAAAGCCCACATTAATGTGGAAATAGCTGCAGAACAGACTGATACTGGTTACAAAACATTCCACCAAGGGAAAGTGTTCTTTGGCCATACGTTAAAAAAAAAAAAAAAAAAAAAAGGCTTATTGTTCATTTTCATAATTCTCTAACAACAAAATCTTCACACTTTTTTGTGTATAAAGTTACTGTAGGCAGACCTTGCTCTGCTGCTCAGAAGGATGTCTACACAGCTCTAAGAGTTTGTTGAACATCTAAATGAAAAACCCCTGAACTTTGCAACTTAAGAGCTGGCCTGCTCTTCCCTTCTAATAACCACCAATGTTTCATCAGAAGAGTCACCAGGAAGCTCTTTGAGGGCTCTTCACTACTCCCCAAGTGGACAGCATCTTTGTGAGCACAGGCATGGTTGGACAGACACATGCAGCTCCCAAGACCCAGAGCACCTGCTGGTGCCGTGACACACAACCACAGTGCATCTAGGAAACTCGGCATTTTTCCTCCTTTAGTTCTTGTAGGGAAAAAAAGACATCCACAAAGAAGAGAAGCTTAGAACTGTCCAGGAACCAGTGGATTTCTGGGAGGTGACCACCCCTTGTTAGCATGTCAACTGTATGTCAGTGTCACCTCTGGACTGCCACAAATTACAGTTACTCTGTAAGTCCCGCCTATATGTGCAGTGATGCAGATGCACTCACACGCACAAGACTGAAGGAAAGAAGCCACACACAACAAAGTAAGGGCAGCCCAACCTAGTTTATAGCCAAGGGGCCGTAGCCAGGTGCTTATTTATGCCCGGGGATTGTATGCAAGGGTTTATACATTCCTGGGCTTATCTGTATATTTTGCTACCTGTATACTTGAAGAAAAACAATATTTTCCGCATATAATTTGCTTAGCAAGTACCTTTATATACCGTACAAGTACTAATTATTGTTTGAACTATGAAATAGAAATCAAAGTTCAAGGATGAAATGCTACTTAAAATGTTAACTTTTCCTTCCTCAAGAGGTCCTTACACTTACTCAGTTTTGATAAATTCATACGTACATTTGTGACAATCAATTTTCTACCTTTCAAAAAGCCTTCTTTCTTAAAGAAGGCCTTTCTAACCAAGTTTTATTCATTTATTTAATTATTTATTTTTTGGTCTTTTCTGAAACGGGATCTCATTACTCAGTTCAAGCTGCTCACACTGTAACCCACTGGCCTAGAACTCACAGTGATCCTCCCACCTCAGCCTTCTGAGTGCTGGAACTACAGGCATGTGCCACCACGCCTGGCTTTAACCACACTTTTACAAAAGCAGTTCACACATTTTCTTTGGATCACTCAACCCCTCCAAGTTAGGGGTTGTACTATGCTTTCCTGAAATTTTAAGTTGAAACCACCCTGTATGATTAGGAAGCAGCACGGAAACATTAGCAGGCTACTGCTTTTGTGGGCTCTGCCTTCCTCCTCCACAGAGGGCACACAGAGCCTCTGTGAACATACCTTTTTCAATGTGGGTGGAGCCGAAGGGCTGGTGAGCCACAGGGTTTCCTGGATGGCCAGCCGCAGCTTCAGTCTGTGCAGAGGGTGGCTGATGCCAATCTCTTGCTGGATCTGTCTGTCTGACAGAGCTGACATGATGGCCCCACTTTTCACATTTGCTCTGCAGGCAGCCACATAGCAAGCAGGCATCCCAACCCAGAGCTAGAAACAAGAATGAAAAGATCAGAACATCAGGTAGAGACAGGAGATGCATGACAAGCTTGTGTCATGTAGCATAGGTCTCTGTAGTAAAGGGATGTACCTCCAGCCATTCAACCACGGTTGGCCCGTCCCACTGTGAAAATGGTAAGCCTTGCCTCTGGGCTTCCTCCAGCAACTCAGGCCTGTGAAAAAGAAGACATTCAAATTAAAGAAGCACTGTTACACATCCAACAAGTTAATGGAACAGTCTCTGAGCATTTTCAAAAGTATAACACATATTCTCAGTTCCTTTTATCTTCTACAGTTTTAATGTTATTAACATCATCCTTGTAATAACAGTCACACACATACTATGGAGAACGCCTGAGTAAATAAAAAATGCTACAGAGTTCTCTTGATTCCCAGTCAAATCACCATTACTTCAGAGAATTGAAGAATTACTACCAACTTATAAAACTCAAGCAGAATTTTCATATCCAAGGTAGTAAGACAATTAGGGGAAAACATGAAACCCTACTTCAACAATGAAGAAACAGTATCTAGGAAGAGGAAACCACACCTCAGTTGAGACATCAGTGCCTAATTTTGTGAGAGACTTTAAAAAACAGTGTTTTTGGGGGGTGGTTGTGGTTTGGGGAATGTTGAGACAAAGTCTTGCTATGTATGTAGTCCAGGTTGGCCTCAAACTCTGTGTAACCAGTCTCCCCCAGTGCTTGGATTATAGATGTGTTTCATACTCCCAGCTGTAATGCAGACTTTTAACCACAAAAAGATTATCGTCTAATACAGCAAACAAGTAACAGAGGACAGTTTCTATTGTACACTGCTCTTTAAGTAAACGGGTATTTGATAAGTCACTGGGTCATTCTGTGGTTTTAACCCATTGATCTCTTCTTTAGCCAGCCATTCAACACCTCCTTCAATGCCGAATGTATCACCAGCACAGAAACTCATGCAATACCAAGGCAGTACTGCAGGGAAGTGGGTAGGTGAGTCTTGCATGCACTCCGTAATGTGATTTGAGGTTTCATATATGCTTTATTTCTAAAGACTCAAGTTACACTTTTACTATACTAACATCTCTAAAAGTGATTTGTGTAACACAGTTATGTGAAACAGTAACATTGTAAGCATGGTAAGTCTGACATTAGAACACAAAGGACAAGTATGTTTCAGATACACAAAAACCCTAGTCAGTCTCAGTCAATCAGTCTCTCTTCCCCTTTTCTTTCTTTTGGAAACTTATGTTCCTAAGTAAAATGTTTCATATACAATTTCAACTAAGAGTTCCTTAAGTTACCGCTAAGCTTACAGGAACAATCACCAGGGAGTAATTGTACCAGAGAAGGCAGCAAATGTGTTATCTCAGATGAAACAAGAAAAAAACAAAAAAAAGAAGAAGAAGAACAACAACAACAACAATTTTCTAGTTGAAACAAGCAAAGCTATTCACAGAGAAACAGATCAGCAGAAGTGTGCTCCTAAGTACAAGAAGTAGTAGGCTACTGTCATGGTTTATGTCTGTGGCCCCCAGGCCTCATGCATTTTCATTGTGCATTTGTGATGGTTCATTGTCTAGTGCTTGGATTCATGGTGTCAGTGTTACACCCACATAAGAGTGGAGCCAGGATATGATGTAATGGTAGGAAGAAAGTGTATCTTGCTCTTTGCCTGTTCCTACTTGCTGTTTGCAGCCACCATGAACTGTGACCCAGCCATGCCCACCTGCCTTGGAGCCAACTGAGTGTGGACTGAAACCTCCAAAAACTGTAAGAAATAAACTTTTCCTTTCCAAACTTGGGCTTCAGGTATTTTGTCTCAGCAATGAGTAAAAAGTAACTAAGACAGAATTTGGTACCGAAGAATGGGGTTGTTTGCTGTGACTATACCTTACCATGTTTTTCAAGAAATGGCTTTGGAAATGGCTTGTGGGCAGAGTTTGGAAAGGTTTGGATGTGTTGCCTGGATGCATAGAGCTAGAGCAGGTTAGGCAGTTCTGTAGAGGAGATAGTGGTCACAGCTCAGGAGACCAGAAGGCTGATAGGAAGCCTGATGGTAAAGACCAGGCCTGGGAGATTTCTGCTGGGAAGAAGGACTGCAGTGGTTGTTGGACTCCCCATGATGTGAGTTATGGGTTGGCAGAAAGTTGTCTACATTTTGCTCATGTCCAGAGACTTTGCCTGAGACTGAAACAAAGGGCAATGGACTGATTAATCTTGAAAAAGAAATTAAAAAGCAATCAAATGTTGAGTCTGTGGCATGGTACTGTAGAGGGCTTTTAGCCAGCTTTATGTTGCAAATCAAGAGGAAAGAGCCCAGCGGGATAATTTGCAATACTGTGAGTTTGGCCAGAAAGAATATTTCAGGAAGGCTGTGGATTGTAAAGACAGTGGAGATTCTGATGGCTGAGGGAAAACAGAGAAATAAGAAAGATGGGCCGGGGGCATCCCAGGAAGCAGGTCCCCACCCTGTGCAGCCTCACTACAAAGGTAAAAGAATTTTTTCAGAGGAGAAAGTTGCAGAGCACCAGGTTCCAGAATGGCGACAGAGACCACATGAGTTTCCAGAATGGTGACAGGCCACATGAGGTTCCAGAATGGTGGCAACATAGAGAAGCTTTTCCTCACAATCAGTTAAACAGAGCCCTGTGATCCAGGCAACTGACCCCTACAGCCAAGAGAGAGAAAAGCCTGAGTACTGCTCTAGCTAGCAGCAAACCTTGGCAACATCCACATGGTGCTGATCTTAGGTGCTAGGAAAATGCACAAATTCTGAGGGTAAGATGGCTTCTACCTCTATTGCAAAGGGCCTGGGAGGCCAAGCTGTGTGCCCCTGAGAGGGCAATTTGTGAAGACATAAAGGTGAAGCCAAAGGTGCAGTGGAGACCCCAAAAGTTTGGAAAAGCCAGAAACATGGACGATCCAAGGAAAGCTCCAAAAAGCAAGCAGAGAGGATTTAAGAGAAAAGCTGCAGGAGGTGAAATCCCTGGAAGTGCCTTGGGGGTGGAATCACACAAGCCTTTTGGAGCTTGTAACCATATTGCTTCAGATGCAGAGCAAGGAACTCTAGGACTTAATGTTCATCCTGCTGGATGTTGGATTTGCTTTGTTTCCAATGCTTTATATTCCCCTGTTTGTAACTTTTGGAATAGTAATGTTTATTTTGTGCCTTTGCATTTGAGAAATGTTTAAACTTGTTTCATTTGTACAGGGGTTACAGTTAAGAGTTTGCCATAGATCATGGAGGAGACATGGGACTTGGACTGTTCAGCAATGCTGAAACTTAAGACTTTGGAAACTCTTGGTGGTGGACTAAATGTCTTTTGTATAAAGGATGTACAAGAGTCCTGGGGGCCAGGGGAGGAATGTCATGGTTTATGTCTGTGGGCCCCCAGGCTTCATGTATTTGTATTGTGCATTTGTGATGGTTCATTGTTAGTGCTTGGATTGATGGTGTCAGTGCTATACCCACAGAGGGGTGGAGCCAGGATGTAATGTAATGGCAGGGAGAAGGTGTGTCTTGCTCTTTGCCTGTTCCTGCTTGCTGTTTGCAGCCACCATGAACTGTGGCCCAGCCATGCCCTGGAGCCAACTGAGTGTGTGAAACCTCCAAAAACTGTAAGAAATAAACCTTTCCTTTCCCAACTTGGCCTTTAGGTATTTTGTCTCAGCAATGAGTAAAAAGTAACTAAGACAGCTACCAAACCTGGCTACAGAGCTGCTATGACTCATTTAAGGAAACAAGAAACACACACACACACACACACACACACACACACACACACACACACACAGAAAGAGAGAGTGTGTGACAAACATACAGAGAGACAGACAGACAGACAGACAGACTGACTGACTGACTGACCCCAAGAAGCAGTGTAAATCCATTTCTGGGTAAAGATCTGAAATTCTGTAATATTAAGTGAGGGTCTGTCCTGGATGCTCTGGCCAGGCCAGGGAAGAGGAAGACTACTGCTGTAGGTCAGAAGCACTTCTAGATTATGTGCCTATTCAAATAGACTAAGTAAGAACTATGTCCTCAGTAGTCTAAAAATGATTTTGTTGGTGTTTTCATTATTTTTGATGGTACTGGGGATGGAACCAAGCACTCATTGAACTAAACCGCCAGCCATTTGTACTATACTTTTTATCTTGAGACAGTTTCTTAAGTTGCCTAGAACAATGGTATTGTCATCATAAATGACCCTCCTGCCTGGACCTCCCAGGTAGCTCGGATGATTAAAGGTACATACCACTGCACAGCTGTAATTTGTGAAAGTACATACCAGACATGTACTGCAAACAAGAACAAGGCCCACTACCTGAAGCTTGGTATAAACTGCTGTTGCCTTTACATCCTTCCTCCTCCTTACACCTGCATCCAGATGCAGCAGTGGGAGTGGTGTGAAGGTAGCAGAAGTAGGATGATGCATTCAAAAGTCATGGGACGTTAGGAAATAACACAGAAGACCCTGGCTGGGGAGTTGGCCCAAGTTCCACCTACAGGTAGCTACACCTCCCCTACCAGGTAGTTTGTGGACTACGAGATTGGGCACCTAACCTTGGTTAACACGATAGGTGGGCACATTAGAGTCCAGTTTTCTTGAGAGTTGTTCCCAAAAGTGTACAGAAGGATCCTGTGTTAAGATGCAGAATCTGGAGCCTGCAGACACTTCTGAGCACCTCTACTCTGGCTCTTTGCAATGTTTGGTGATATGCACAACTACCTTCCTTTTACACTGGGTATTGAAACTGGATCTCTTTTGCTTGCTACTGCACATACTTAGTACAGACACCCATTTGTCCAAATCTGTGACCTCCAAGAACTAAATGGCTTCACAGTGTTTACTCACCTACCTGACTATCCACTTAGGTAAGGTTATCCGTCTACCCATATGATTAGTTTGGAATGGGAGAACCACCTATTTCCTCCCCCTCTACTAAAGCTGCAAACATTTAAGCTTTAGCAACATTCATTCTTTTCTTGCTCAACTTCCCAAATAATAACTCTTCCAGCTCTGAGCCCCAAAGCTTCAAGCAAGGTAATCAAGCTGGGTATGGTGGCATCATCTATAATCCAGCATGTGGGAGATGAAGGCAAGAGGATTACCATGAATTCAAGGCTAGTCTGGACTACATAAGGAGCCCCCAGGGGAAAAAAAGGAAAAATTTAAAAAGAGCAA